CCCAGAAGCAAGCTGGTAGCTAGTGCAGTTTGCAGTACAATGATGTCACATGGGCCACCTAGGGGCCCGAAAACCAATTGCATTCTGCACCAGCTGAAGCTTTTGGATACTCTTCAAGAAGGGCCTGATATAGAGCATATTGCAGTAGTTCAGCATGAGATAAGCAGGGTTGAGTGACTGAACATAGGGACACCAGATGCAGGAAAGGGCACAGCTGATGAACAACACTAAGTTGTACAAAGGATCTCTTAGCCATGACTGCCAACTGCTCACTGAGCAGGAGTCATAAGTACATTGTATACCAGGTCTGTCTGAGGTAGTGTAACCCCATCCAGAACTGGACAATTATGCAACTACATTGTCTCTGACATCAATGGGCATTGTCACGTGACTTTTCAGGAATGTTCCTAGTGTGGGAAGACTACTACCATGAAGTTTACTAACTTTCCTGGAAGAAGGGAGTAAAATGAAAATTACTGATGGCTATCAATTAGATATTGGTTGAATGATTCATTATATTTTATATGCTGGAGTTGGGTGGCCTTCTAATCTAATAAATACAAAAATAAATATGATTTTTATGTTTTAAATTTTGGTTCTTCCATAGTTAATATTAATAAAATATACTGTACAAGTTCTAAGAAATGCAGTAAATATCACTGATGTTAGGCCTATTATTGTTGTAAAGTTTCTAGGTAGCTTACAGTAGCCTTAAAGATATAATAAGAATAGCTGCTTATAGTTTTGTTCAAATCAACATGTCTGATTGGAGATATGCACCTATAACATACTTAACAACCCTAGATACATAGTTAAAAAACACAGTGGTGCCTTAATATTAACTGTAAAAATTGGGAATGATATTTGTTTAGCATCCATCATTTAATACAAAGAAATAGTTGCATAGTGCCACACGGTAACAGGTCATACAAATTATCACTCTTACTTTTGCATCTCATCAAACTGAGTCAACATAATGATTAAAGCCTTTAAAGTGGAAATAAATGATTACTGGTGGGAAAAATGCTGGTTATTTCATTTATTTAATATTGTTGCCAGATTTTTCTAAGTAGCTCCTGGAGCAGCAAAGTGACACATACTACACTCTCTATGAACTGTAGCTGTGAACTTTAGTCTTGGTTTTGTTTTGCATCTGAAATACTCAAGATATAATCCTACATGTTGCTGCATTGACTTCATTGGAATTTAAGTAACTTAACTCTATGTAGAATCACAACCTTGAACTAATATTCTTCCTTGGGTAGGATGGAAAAGATAAGTTTTATACCTTAAGATTCAGTGATTGGATTTCTAAAATTAAGTTAATGAAACTAAACAATATTAACAATAGATCAATAACTTTTTATTAAAACCTAACTGGGATTATTAAATCTAATTTATTTCTGAAAACAAGAAAAAGACAGCAACATGTGACCCTAGAATCACCCAAATCTTTACATAATAAAACTAGATAAAAGAGAAAAATCAATAGCCTGTAGAATCTAGAATTCAGTATGGCTTTCCTTCAGCTTAGTAGTAATTTTATATGTAGCTTCAGAGTTATCGGTATACATGAGGATCAATTACAATCAATTATATTGTCCTTAATTTTAAAAAAACACTGTCAATCTGTGGACCTAATAATGAATTTGAATTTTGACAAAATAATAGGAGTATTGATCGATCTTTACAATTATAAAATTCAGCTTGAGTCTAATTTGAATTTCCATCAGAGAGATAATACAACTCTAAGCTTTTTATTTACAATCCACAATCCAAATGTTAAGATATACATCTCATCAATAATTTTTCATGGTTAATAACTAAAAGCAGCGATCAAACCACCACCACCCCGAATTACTTCATTAAAAAAAATCAGAATATTCACAAATTGTTAAGTTTATGATAATTTATTTTAGGCGATATCATAACGACAGAGTTCAGAAATTCTATATGTTTTGAAGTTATTTTACTATGAAACAGGGTTAATTTGATCTTATCTATTTTAAACTGAATGTTGCAGATGTTCAGAAACTTTGTCTTTACTGAGAACTTACTTAATGACTTGGTGATAGGAAAGAACGGCCATATAATCTTCTGTGATCTTGGAAGAATGTACTATGGTGACTCTGTATACTTTACTAGGCAAAAAGGTTGGTGATTGGTATAAAAACATAAATAATGTACTACTATCCTCATAAAATGACATATCAGAAGCAGTTTCAGGTATTTTAAAATTCCAGGGCATAACACATTTCTGTAGCGATCACACACCTTTCATTATATGTGATGATGACATACATCTTTCATGGCTTGAAATAAATGCATAAGCAAATTTCTGACTTGTCCAGGAATGGTGATGACAATGAGCTTGTGTTTGCTCAACTACATTTTGAACTTTACCAGTGAACCTTTCTAAAGTGTTCTGATTTTTGACCAATTCAGCATGTTCACATAGGACTACTCTTGAAAAGCATCTGGAACTATCAATTAGTTTTTGTTCTCTATATATTTTTATGTGATATTGGAATATAGGAATTTTTAAAAGTGTGAAGTTATGAATATTTCTCTTGCAAGATATGAGCAGGTCTCAAAAGGGTATCAGAGATAATGAAAAAGTATGCCCAATTGTATATTTTAATGATCCTAGATTTTTAAAAGGCCATTTCTCTTAAATATGTTTTTGCATTATATATGCATATACATATACATATATATGTGCATATATATATATATATATATATATATATATATATATATATAATCTCACAAAAAGATATTTAATATACATTGCATGTGAATGATATATACATATATGTGATATATATATATATACACAGAGAGACACAGAGTGTGTGTTTGTGTATGTTGTTCAGTTGTAAAAAGTTCAATTTTGATTTGAGTTTAGTGCTGTTTTTAGTCTCTTTCCATATTCCCATTCCAGATTAATTTACCTAACAGGCAACAGTGGCTTGGCTCCATTAATATTTTAGATGGTTCTTAATCTTGTATTCATTATTGGAAACATATAGTTATACGGCTTTTTAAAAGTACAATCTGAATATTTCTAACAAAGTTAGAAATGAGAGGCAATTCTCCTGCTTTTGCCTAATGCAATCAAATTTATTCTTTAAATTCTACTGTTTCGGTCCAAATAAAGACTTAAGAAGTATAGTAAGTGACAAATACTAGTTAGTGTAGAGAACATGGAGAGCCTAGGAAGCAGTAGACAATTATAAATGAAGATCATTATTGAGATAGGTTTCTACATTCTATTTTCCTCTCCTCCCCCCACATACATACTACCCCCCATGCTGAATTTTTTTTCCTATTTATCTCCAAATAGCAAAAGTGAACTGGAGAATCTATTATTTATGTGCTTCAGTTGAAAGTAGCTGTTATATTATGTTACTCAAGATCTTGTAGAGATTTACTTTTCCAGGAGCATTTTATTCATGTTAAAAATATTCTTTTAAGAAGTGTAGAACAATAATTATATTTATTTATAAAATATCCTACAGTATTTTATAAATACTAAAACTCAATGCGGAGAATACACATAATACTCCTTCCTTCTCCTGTTTTTGCCAGAAAAGCAACCCTTTGAGGTAGGTTGGACTGAGAAAGACTGACTGGCCCAAAGAGAAATAACTTTGCTGTAAGCACTGAAGGAGATAACAAGCTAGCAAACAGCTGCATGTTAGATTCATTCATAATTCAGAAGTAACCCCCCCCCAGAAGTGTATTGTATTATCAAATTAACTAACAGCAAGTTTCTCCTGCGCTATTTGAAGTGGATACCTTGAACCTGGGAATATTTTTGTTGCTTTCAAGATCTCAATTGTTTCTCCAAATGAAGAAAGAAATATCACAACTAGGATTATGTCCCATGGATATGGGAAAATCTAGGTAATAATAGCCCAGTGGATTTATACATCCAACTTGGATTTACAAGATAAAAGCAACTTTTAAATTAAAGTGCTTTTTTCTGAACTGAGTTTATTATTCTAAAGACAAGAATGATTTCCTAGAAAGTTGTCTCTTTATGCTTGGCTATTATCTTTGATTTTCCCTTTCCACTAATGAGCATTTATCTAAAAGAGCCTCTTAATCCTCTGATGTGTGATTCTGGTCAGAGGTAACAGTTTGAATAAAACCACTAATCACTTATCACTGATCATTAATCACACTTTTTTCTGGGGCTTTGCGACTTGCACAGGAATAAAAAAGAAAGAAAGAAAAAAGCCCAAAGAAGAAATTCAGGTCAATATTAGCTGTTTTAAAGTCTTTATGAAAATTGAATTTTAGGCATAAAAGTAGCAGACTTCAAAGAAGTTTTCAAAACTTAAGCAAATTCCATTCTCTCTCCCACTTCCCCAATTTTAGCATAGTCTGTTATAACTTGGGCAGTCTTTCACTTTTAATAAATAATATTTGTTTACTTACACTATACTATACACTACACTATGCTACACTACATTATATGCTATACTTTACGCTATGCTATGCTATATTACTATAAGCTATACTATATGCTGTATTATATGCTATACTATTTGCTATATTATACTACTATACTACACTATACTATGTACTAACTCTACTATACTATGGTGTGCTGTACTAACAATACTATACTATACTGATTTGTGTAACAACATGTGTATATAGATGTATAAAATTTTCGCTAACATATCCAGTCAAGAAAATATATAAATCTATCTAGGGTTTTTTTTTTTCCTCCCGGAGAGTTTATTTTGGGAAAGGAACATTTTCTTCAGGATTGGTTCCAGTGTAGTGTCCAATTTTCTCTCTTTCTGAAGTCCTCTATGAAAGCTGTGTAGGATCCAGCTTCAAGGCTATTATGAGAAGGATCCGTGATGAACCATTGTTAACCCCCCCCCCAAAAAAAAGAAATTCAAATTATTTTTCCAGATAATGTAGATTCTCATTCGCAAGGTTTGGTTTGGGGAATTTAAAGGGACACGCAAGTTACTCACTTATCACCTCCTTAGAGCGCCGGCGACTGGAGACACGTATCTCCTTTCGATCTTCCATCCTGTCCAAGACCCCGAATCCTACGATCGCCCCATGCGGCTGAGTTTCAAGAATGCTAGTGGCAAGTTTAGTTAAGCAGGTATTCCCCCTAGAGTCTTCTCATTCCCAGGGTAAAACTTGAGGCGGGGAAGAGACGTCCGCTGAGAATGTAAAGAATGTTGGAAAGAAGGGGTCACGCTGCTCATCTCAAGCTAGGTGGCAGGACTTCTGCATTTCTAGCCTGACCCTCCCAAAAACTGCCCCAATATCCAAACCTCTTAACACACTCTTACTAGCCTGCAGAATGACGTAATGGTCCAGGAGCCAACTCTGACTCCCAAAGATAATGTCAGACAGGGCGGGGGCGACAAAAGGGAGGGGGGTGCAACATAGCGATGCAGCCACCTATCAACCAAATATATACATACCACGAATCCTTGGTGATGTTACTTAAAAAAATATACACACGCGAGGACCATGTGAGGACTAGAGATGGAATGGTGTCGTGACGAAGTGGAGAAGTAGTGGGCTTTTTCATTCTTTCTTTCTTTCTTTTTTTTCTTTAGTCCAACAATTCTTGTTGAAACTTCTTTCGTCCGCGTCTTCTTTGCTTGAACTCGCGAAACGATATTTAAAAGTTTTCGCGCTGCCGAGAAGTACTAGAAAGGACGCAGCTAGAAAAGCAGCCGCAAGACATGGGGACGGCGGGGGGAGGAGGGTAGTGCTGTCATTCCACCAAAAAAGAAAAGTGTTACGAAGCAGAAGGTAGGAGGAAAGAGAGAGAGAAAGAAAAGTACAAGCCTGATTAGTATCCTTCGCCAGTTCCCTGCAGATAGGGCTCTGAGCACCCAGGTGGTTATTGTTAACCTGATGTTATATTTACAGTCCCTGAGAAAAAGCGGATAACGCAGACAAACGTGGCTCAAGCCCCGGAAGCGAGACATTTCGAGCTGATCTGGGGGCTGATTTGGGCCATTCTGGAAACTCCTTTCCTAAGTGACAGCAATCGTGAGGTCAGATGCCTGAGGAGACAATGTTCCTGAAGGTATAGAGAGCGCGCATCCAGGGCTCAAATATGGATCGATCGTAGTTAAGCGACTGCAAAATTGGAGATTCTGGATAAGGCTTCTTTAAGTTCAGAAGTCCCCGGCAAATTTGAGGGGAAAGAAGGAATGTAACTCAGTGACAACGGAAGACACGCGCGAGCTGAGACGTTCTCCGCTATCCTTCTGGTTAAGTTTTCAAACTTTTGCACACTAATTTCTGTGTTTGGCAGTTACAGGAAAAGATATGACCAAAGATTCTCTCTGTAGCTGCTCCTTCAGCGTCTAGATATCTGAATGCCCACGCATCATTTTAAGTATGCACGTCCCAAACATTTTAGTTCCCCCTCTATTCCGATTAATAAGAAATGATCAGGGCTACTGCACCGGGCAGAGGGACTGGGCACAGATCTGCACCGTTCCGCATCTTCTCGGAGCGAGTCACTCACTTTCCAGTTAATGTCATGCGCTGACGGGCCGGATCATCTGCCCGAGATAAGACTGCTTCATTCCCCAAGTGAAAGTAAGTCACTATCAATCATTAATTTGTACATAGTCAAGCAAAAACTCGGACACAGCCGCCAAACTAAACATATAGCAAGTACCGTTTACAACAATCTATTTTGTCAGGATCGCACTTTCTCTCACTTACTCGCCCGCTTCACTCCAGGGTTTTGTTTTGTTTTTTCTTTTGCTCTCCTGTCTGCGCGTTGATTGCACACACGTTCTGAATTAAAAGAAAACAAACACCTACCACCATCCGCTGCAAGCCTGAACTTTTAAGAGACACTCCGGAAAGGCGAGTTTTCAAATGCAACATAAAGTTGATTGGAAAAACGGGAAAAAAAACAACAACAGTTCAATATTTGTAGGGACTTACCCAACAAGTGTAAGAAGGAAAGGGACCAGCAGTCTGAGTGAAGGAACCACGTTGGACTGAGAGAAGGTTACAATACGTTCTATTTAGAGAAGCATTACATCACCCTTCGTGACGTCACGTGGGATTCCTGAACTTCTAAATCATTGCGGTCCCCGCTCGAGAGAATCAAGAGAGAGGCGGAGCGGGAGAGGCGTGTTCCAGGCGGACCCCGCCCCCGCCCACTCCGCTCTAGCCAGCCACAATGCAGGCAGGCGGAGGAGGACTGACTGTAAAATCGGAGCGGCGCAAGCAAGACTTTCTGCACGGACGATGACAGGACGCTGCTATTCGTTCTGTGAATCAGCCTGGAAAAAATCTACTTGCTGAATTATGGGAGAAGGAAGCTGCTGGAAACTGAATCCCACCACCACCCACTCTCCCTCCCAGCATGTGGGTCAGTCTCGGGATGCGAGGTTGGCGTCCCAGTTCACTTGTAAAGGGAGCGGAAAAGGTCTTCCTTTTGCTGTTCTGAAGTGATCGGTTCAGGTTTTATTTCCAAGAGAGTCTCCAGCTGAGGTCTGAAACCAAAAAGGGGGATCTCTGACCAGGTAGAGAGTGCGTTTCTCTGCATGCTGCATATCACATAAAGATAAGCAGTGAGCATTATATGAAAATTATTTTCTTTTAGAGATTAACCATTAAATAATGTTAACTTCTGAAGGAATGATGGAGGTGATGGTAAAAATAATAATAATATAGAATAAAGTGATATTTTTTCAAATGTTCTAGTACCATTGAGACTCCTTTAGTCTGTGTATGGTTTTGGCCATTTAATCCTCCACTGTGTTACTAACTTTAAAGGACTACAAACAGCTTTGTTAATGCCTTAAATATATTTTTTTAAAAAATAAAAAATAATAGCTATATATTGTAGTGATTTAATTAGGATATGGAATCTGCAGCCCTAAGATTAATAAAGGAATGTATATAAAATTAAACCTACAAAGTTCAAGCAACTAGGCACATAAAACATATTCAACAGATGATCTTAAAACAATACAAGCATACACACATATGTACACAAAATATCAGCATTACATTTACAAGAATTCTTGGTTCAATTCTTTGCCTCTTTTGAGAAAGACAAATTCATGGAAAGATTCTAAGGAGAGAAGTTTCCTCAGCTGGTTTTCCTTGATGACACCTGAACTCAGAAGGACTAACATTGGTCAATACTTGGGAAGTCATTTTCCTGGAAGTTTGTCCCACTAAATGCAGTAGGAGTCAGTTCTGTCTAAAATTAAGTAGAACTAAAATTCTTTAACAGAAGCCCAATGAAACAGTTAGAATTAATGTAACCTTGTATTAATTTAGAATTGTTTTTTAAAGCTGAGCAAAATGCAAAATGCAGTATTTTGCTCTTCCTTGTTGCCTACCCAAAATAATTTGTGGCCTGGAAAGCCAAGTTGCCTATTTCTCACATACAAACTACTAGAACAAACACTTCTGGTTGTTTGTTCCTGGGTTCCCTTGACAACATGTCAACCTCATATACAGTGTTAGGTCACATTAATCACTAGAAATCAGGCCTAAATATTTACCTTTTCTTAAATGTTCTGTACATGAAGGCCCAACACCAAGAAGGCCTGACGGTCTCCCACCATATTTCATGGTCATGGTGAAAAGGCAAAAAAATATAGGGGACAGTGCCTTGGACATAATCTGCTTCATGACATGAAAGATAAAGACCAGTGCTTTGATTTTTTTTTTCCAGACCGTGCTGTTGAGAGCCAGTGTATCTTCTTAAGGCCTTGTCTCTCCCGACTGGTAGTAGAAAAGCAGTGTAACGTGTATTGTGGTAAGGAAGTTTCTCCCTTCTTGTTGTGCAGGTCTATAGTAACAATACTTCATTTACAAGGAAAACTAACTATTTCCTAAATGAACATACCTCTTTTTTTTCTTTATAAGATTTTTTTTTCCTAGCATACATGGCACCAAATTTTCCATGAATAGAGGCTGATAAATTTATATTCCCATCAGAATTCAGTGCATTATTTATACAGCAAAACAAAAGCTTCAGTGGCAGTCCTAGATGTCAGCACTGATTTGATAGAACCGCTCTTCATGACTATTTTTATTTATTCAGATTAAAGCATTGAACGGCAAATTTTTCTAATATCACATCTAACCTATGCTTGAAGTGTCATCAGTGAATTCTGTATTTCTTCAAATGTTACTTATCTCTCCAATCAAAAATGTATACTGTACAATCGTTGGCAATAAAGTACAACAATCCATTAGGTGCAGCTTTGAGAGAAAATCTTACAGGGAAACACTGTGCTAAGTGATGCTAAGGTATGTTTGTTGAAAAAAAGGCAAGTTACTTTCTACAAACTTAAATATTTTCAAACTCAGGTAGGAGTATACTGTACTGAAAACTGAAAGATATCCTGCAAAGAGTTCATGAAACAGATAGTGATCCATAAAGGTCGCTATATAATAAACTTAGGGCTCTTTAAAGCCTCAGAAGGAAATTTCACTCTGACAGGGTTCGAAGCTGCTTTGCCATGACGTGCAGGCCAATAAAGCAAAGTTTCCATTGTAATTGATTTGCTTTAACTAAGTATATTCAGTAAGCAAAAGAAGCTTTTCTGTGTATAATATGCAAGTGCAGAAGTCTCTTTTAGGACTTTAAGGAGGTACTAACTTTACAAAAAGAGGCAACAGAAGTGTACTCTTTGTACCTCATCAAGATAAATTAATTATTAAGCAGCTGTTGATCTTTAGTTTTCCAATAAGGCAGATAACGGGAAAATTTTCATATATACAGTTAGTCCACATTGAGCAACCATAATAGGGACTGGCAAATCAGTTGTTAAATGAAGTGGTCACTAAGTGAAGCCATAAGTTTGCTTACTATCTTACTTCTGCTTTCATTTGCTTTACATACCTGTGAAAGTCAAAAATGTGAAGATTGGTCATAAAGTTTTCATCATCCTTGTAAACTGTGAAGAGACACTAAACGAGGCAGGACCAAAACAAGGATTACATACAGTTATTTATATAATAAATAGAGAACAGAACCCATACCACCAATTGCTAGAAATCTAAATTTCTTGTCTGATCAGGGTTTTATTATTTTTTCTTCTAGAATCTAGGTGATAAAATTTCAGCTATTTCCAATAGAATTGTTACATTTTTAATAGTAGCCATGGCTCGCAATAATCAGCTTCCTTATGCTATTAATTGCTTCAGAGTTTTCTGAATGTTCTATTTTATTATTATTTCTTACATTTTAATATTGTTTTATACTTGATGTGTTTAATAATATTTTGTTGGATCTTAAATAAATAAAATTTCCATAAGAATGTTCCATTCCAGTCCATAATGAGAAGTGGCATATTGTCACCAAAGTTGCACACTATTTTGTAATAGTGCTAAAAAAAACTAACCGCATACCACACCTGAACGTTTTCAAAACCTTAGTCTCCCATCATCCCCTCATAGATTATGATTATATTATGTCAGATATGACAAAAGCAAGATTGTAATGTATGCCTGCCCATATGCTGGATTATTGTCCTTTCAGTTTAATAGACTATTAAAACAGCATTTATTTGAGATGACAAATTTCAGTCCTAAAGTCACAGCAATATTTCTGGAAAAGGCACAGGACCCTCTCAAGAGAAATAACAAGACTAATTTCCCCTGAGAAATCAGGATTGGCATATGGTATTTTGATTTTGAGATAACTAGTGGACATAGGACTAACTATCCTAAGATATTTTTCTGCTGCATACCAAGGCAAAACTTTTGCTTGAAACCAAATGCTCTAACACAGTGGTTCTCAACCTTTCTAATGCCGTGACCCCATAATACAGTTCCCCATGTTGTGGTGACCCCCAAGTGGGTGTGGCCACCAATAAGAGGGAGTAGGACCGCTAGGGAAAAGGGAAAAAAATGGCAGACAGCGTGGTTTGGTGACCCCCGTGAAATGGTCATTCGACTCCAAATGGGGTCCCGACCCACAGGTTGAGAACCACTGCTCTAACATAATGTTTTTTGTTTCATTATGACTAGATAAAATTATAACATCAGTTGCTATGGGCTATAAACTACAATATTAATATTACTACAAATTAATTAATCTATTAATATTAATTTATACATTAAGTGATGTTTTAATAGATATATTAATATTATAAAATACAACGGGCTATAAATATACAATGTACAAGAGCCGATTTGATGTTGTACAGTTAAGGCATCAGGCTAGAAATCAGGAAACTGTTAATTCTAATCCTGCCATAGGCATGAAAGCCAGCTGGGTGACTTTGGACCACTCACTCTCTCAGTCCAGTTCACTTCACAGGGTTATTGTAGGGAAAATAAGTGAATGAGGAAGTATTAGGGATGCCCAACCTACATTTCCAACAAAGAGTTGTCTGTATCTATATTGCATCTTTCTCAAGGTATTGGAAGAGATTGGTAAAGTGAAGTAAAATAAGGTAATGAGTATACTTTACTGGTCAAAACAAAGGAGTCATGTACGTAATTTAGCAAAAAAAAAGCATTGCTGAAGCACAGCATGCACCCAAAGCTTTGCATAGCCCCATTTTCACACCACAGCTTTGAGCAGCTGATTATACCTACTACACAACATTGTTTTCGAAGAAATTCTCAGCTTTCTTCTCTCTTTTTCCTGCTACAATATTTCTCAATCTAAATATTACCCTTATACAGAGTCTTATATCCTATATTTTAAATTTAAAAGATAGCCAAAAACTCCTGCATATGCAAATAAGCGTCAACATTTACTAGTTCTCAGGACTGAAATAATTGTCTTGTAAATGCATTTATACTAATCCTATTCTTGGCCTTTTCTGAGAGTTTGCCTATTTACCTTCAGAATCAGATTCCTGACATTCATATTTATATATATTCTAATCAGAATGAAAGGCATATATGCTGTTTGGATGAACAGAAAAAATCTATATTTGTGAAACAGAACTGTTAATGTTGAATAGATCTACAGAGACAAGGTTCAACTGTTATACATTTATG